GCCGTGACTTGGGATTTTGTCACATAACACAGCCGACCATGGGCCCAATCACGGTGGCAGAGAGGAGCCACTGAAGGGGTAAGAGGTGTTCAAGGTTAAGCTCAAGGGAATCAGGCCATTCTGACAAGCGGAGGAGAGCAGGACTCTGTAGGTTTCACTGGGACCCTCTGAGCAGCACATACTGATCCCCTGTAATTGCAGGATCAGATCTAAGGACTGGAAGACTTTCCTCTGCATAAGGCTAAGGAACTAAATGGAAGTTGCTGCAAAGAGACAGGTTGACTTTCTACCAACAGCACTAGGGACTGAGTCAGGAGGTGCTGAGCTGCATCCCAGTGTATTTAAACTTTAGAGACAGAGAGTGGTGACCCACACTTGTGGTGGCATAGACTGCTGCCCAGGATGGCTTCACACTCCTGATGCAAGGCTTTGCAAGGTGATGCCAGTGTGTTATCCCAGAACTGAGAAGGCTGAGGCCAGGAGCACGACCATGATTTTGAGAACAGCTTGGGCTCCATAGTGTGTCTGAGGCCTGCCTGATATACACAGGCAGACCCTGTCTCAAGAAACCAACCAGCTTCCAGCCAGCTGGCTCCCTGCCTCGCAGGTGCCCGGAAGGAGGGCCTTTGGAGCATGGGAAGCCATGGGCGGGGAGCACCGGTCTTCCTGCTGGATCGCTCCCTGCCTCATAGACACCCATAAGCAGGGGCCCAGGCACACGGGGAGCCATGGGAGCCACGGATAGGGAGTGCCAGGCTTCCGACCTGCTCAATCCCTGCCTTGTAGGTGCCTAGAAGAAGGGGCCCAGGCTCACGCGGAGTCACAGGCAGGCAGCACCGGTGTTCCGACCAGCTGGCTCCCTGCCTCGTAGGTGCCCAGAAGGATGGCCCCCGGTGCAGAGCCATGGGTGGGGAGCACTGGTCTTCCGGCCCGCTCACTCCCTGCCTGGTGGGTGCCCAGAATTAGGGTCCCTGGTGCAGGGGGAGCCACGTGACAGTGAGCGCTGTTGCACACCGGCCCCCAGGCCAGCTGCCGCTGCTCAGTTGAGAACTACCATGACACAGAGAAACAATGCCACAATTGGCCCACAATGCACTG